TTCTTCCGTTCCTCCGTTCCTCCGTTCCTCCGTTCCTCCGTTCCTCCGTTCCTCCGTTCCTCCGTTCCTCCGTTCCTCTGTTCCTCCGTTCCTCCGTTCCTCCGTTCCTCCGTTCCTCCGTTCCTCCGTTCCTCCGTTCCTCCGTTCCTCCGTTCCTCCGTTCCTCCGTTCCTCCGTTCCTCCGTTCCTCCGTTCCTCCGTTCCTCCGTTCCTCCGTTCCTCCGTTCCTCCGTTCCTCCGTTCCTCCGTTCCTCCGTTCCTCCTCCGATTTCTCATGAATTATAAGTTATCGCTTGTCGTTCATCACAAGGTTCCTGATTGTATCACGCAGCAGAAAGTGAACCGCAAGTAACTCTTACTCTCGAAGCCCGCGCGTCAAGCTATCGATTCTCCGTGAGCTCATGAGTCATGACTCTGATAAGAGATGGCTAGCGCTAAGGACGAGGGGGCTTTGGAATACGATAATTCGCTGGCCAGAGGGTCTTGGGACGAATCTGATGAGGCTGCGAGTAGGACGCGAATCGATATGAGCCGTGATGTGAGTGACCCGGTTGATACCGTTCTGGCGAGTGAGACAAGTAGCTCGCTCGCGTGATTCGACACCGCGCTTATCCGTCCGGTCGATACTCTTGGAGTAGTTTCCGGTTAATCAATACCTTAGACTCAAGACATCCGACTTCCCAACAGATATCAACCGGGTCACTCACATCACGGCTCATATCGATTCGCGTCCTACTCGCGGTTGCAGCCGAACTGACCAAGAGAACGAGTATGAAGATGCACTAATCAAATAACTTATCAGAGATCTAAGGCGTATCTCGCCAGAAAGAATAATCCGACGGTTCTTCACCATTCCCAAAGGAGAAAACATATTGGTCTTTTCGGAGAATGAGGTATGAAATGATTATAGCCAATTAGATTGTCATAAGATGATGAATGCCTGGAGTGGGGCCGAGAGATTCGCAGTGAGATATCGGTGGGACGACCACCATCACTGTGAACCCTCAACAAAAACTTTCCTTCCCTCCTTCGGCGGACTCTTCATGGGAATTATGTTGGAGAGCTTCAGTTCTGGCGAACATAAACAACGGAGGATAGATTCAGCTGGCTTCGCGAAGTCCGTCATGGGATCCCTTCTCCATGAGGTTCTCATTCGGACATTCGGATTCATCGCTTTATCATTCTCAGACGATAGATAAACTTCGAACGTTCTCCCTCCATCTCCGCCATTATCATGATGTATCATTGGGTCAGAGGGAAGACCTCAAACGTATTCATCCAAACACGGATGGTTTGGAATAAAGACGAACTAGTAGATATAGGTAGACTACAATGATGGTCACGGGAATCGTGATAATCGCCCTTGGACACTAGTCCTTTCTGTCCCTTCTAGCTTGGTTGACTAGAGAATAGAGCACCGAATCAATGGAATACAGTGTTCATCGGTTTATTGCCCTGAAAATTGGATCTACGAAGTTCGAGAAGGGGGCGGTTCCCATATTTACATTTGAGCTGTGCGGCGATTTCTGACTGGGAGAGGGGTTCGATATGCCAGCATCAGTCTCTCTGACTTGTTGTGAGGGAAGGCATTTATATACTGCCGAGCGCTCCCGACCTTTGGTCAGATGATATATCTGGTGGACGACTTTCTGAACACTCGTATATGGGGTTACGAACAGATAGAATTATTGGCCGATTTTCTTTGATCCGAAATCTCAGAATCGAGTAAGTAGCTGGATCGTTTGATGCGACCTTCCGGTGCCTTCCATGCGACTTCGCTGTCGACCCCCGCCCCAGGATTCGGTCGGAAAGAGAGAGCGCATGGTGGTCGGCAGTTCGCCTTTGAAGAGGAGGTCGCCTAATGACTGCTTCCGGTTGTGCTCGTTGCGTCAAGTGATCGATCCCCGCGTCCTTCATCGTCGCGATGGCTCTGGTCTTCGATGGGACTGTCATCTGGGCCTGGAATCAATGCCGCGAATGACTTCGATATCTGTCGGCTGAGGAGCATTTAAACAATTAGCAACGGATTCCACTGACTTCCTCGTCGCTCAACATGACGGTATTCTCCCGCTCATCCGGAAGATCAGATGCACAGAGAATTCGGTCGGCCCAGGAATTGTCGGCAGTTCTCCGCGGAAACTCGACTCACCTGATGTTGGTGGGAACATCGAATGCGGGTTCAGTGTCTGAGATCTTGTATCTTCTGGATTTTCGATGAAAGGAATCATCGATGACGGGAAGGGGAGGCTCCCAAGACTGAGTAGGAAGCGGGGATCCAATAGGGATCCTGGCAGGAGCGGGAGCGGTCGAAAAGGCAGGGGCGGACACAGAGGTGGCACTGAAAATTGTGAGAAGTGACTCTACGAGGGAGCTTTCCTTAACTGACAAGGATCAGCTTCTGATCCCCTCCTGGACATGATCCACTCCAGAAGGGAACCGTGGGCTGCCAAGATTACCAGGAGCTGGATAAGTTCGGACGAAACGCTTCGGGCTCTGAAGCTAGGTGTGTTTGGATTTCCGAAATGCATGAAAGCTCGGAGTCTCGTATTCGAAATAGGCGGGAACTCATAATTTTTCATTGAGGTGCGATAGAAATCTCCATTGCGAGAAAGAAACTTTCGTACGGCTTTCGACCGGGAGTTTGAATGTTTTTATCAGTCGGGACGACTATTTCTGCGGATTTGCCCGCTTCGTGAAGTTCGATACCACAATAGCTGAATTGGTTCGGATATCAAGATCGAATGACAAGAGATACGATTCTTGATGTGCTGTTCACACCTCGACTCCCATGATTTAATCCGACGCCAGACGCAAAGCTCCCGACCGTCTCGCGAGACTGTCAGTGGGTTCCGAATTCCCATTTCAGAAGACTTCCCTCGTTGAGCCAGGTCGAACAATATGGGAATCGTACCTCACTTACTCCACGGGAAGGCAAATGACTCAAAATATCGGGTGCTCGAATGCGGGAGTCATGCGCTGTTTTGGAGACACAACAAAAATCCTGTTTGATAAGATCTTGTCTGACTGCCCGAGTCCGGACAACTTGTCGCGAGCCGAGCGTCCAGTAGCCCAATCGGATTGCACGCGAACAATCGGCGCGCGTCGCCACAAGAGCTCATCCTTCCGGAATGAATGAAATACGTTCTGGACTTTGCTTCTTGTCAATGATTCATTATGACTCTCGGATCAATGTTTGGCTGCAGCCCTCCGCTGTCGTCTGTCCTTGTGTCTGTTTGGTCGGTCGGTCGACTCGCTGGCTGGCTCATTCGCCGTTCGTAGGCAGGGCCAAAACGAACCGTAGGCAAGTAAAGAGTGCTCTTTCTGAAGCGGCTGACCCGCCCTCGCCGCGGATGATCACGATTCAGTCGACTATATCAGAGGTCGTATTTCTGGTTTAAAACAACCGAACGAAATTCCATCGAATTCATCTCACATGCACACAACAGCCAGTGGAGCTTTTGTTTTGAGGTATTTATGCTCAGTTCAATAAAACGAACTGACAAGTAACAGCGTCGGGTCACACTTATTTCTCAGAAGCGTAAATCATGTTTCTGTTGAAATGCTCGAAACGGATAATAACATGACGGGGAAGGCTGAGCGAAAACACAGAGAAGCGACTTTTTTGTCTTTTAGCTCTTGTGGCCCTCTTCTTCGGTTCTGTCTCTCCCTTTTCGTATTTCACTCGTTTTCGTTCTTGTTGCCGACGTCGTTACCAATCTCTGGCTCCGAGGAGAAGCACAACGTGACTTCATCCAGGTCGATGCCTTGTGTGGCTTTCAAGGGGCAGAAAATGATTTCAACTAGATAAATTACAGAACTTACTGGTTCCTGGTATCCCGAAACAGCTAGTCGTCGTGCTCACGGCGGAGCGCTCCGAGAGAAGTGTCGTGCCTGGAGGCGTCGTCGGTGAACTCTTGCTGTTCAGTCTGGACTCGCTCTTCAGGAAGAAACAATCGTATTGAAAAAAGCCCGAAATATCGGAGTTCGTCTCACAGAGTCGAGAAAATTTCTTGCATCCCTGTTCCGGTGCTATAGGAGCACGCTGCGATTTCCTGCGACACACCGGGAGATGAATGTCCACGAATTCCGATTCCCCGAAAGCTGATAATGACATCCTCTTCCAGAAGCGAATCTTGGATATCCGATGTCGTTCCTTCCGACTTGCTATGAACTACCTCAGGGCATGAACAGGCCTCGTAGAAGTGGACAACCCATTCTAATTTCATATTACCAACTCGAGTTGAGCGTGGATGATGGTACTCCGCAGGTAGGCAGGATTCATTGACCGAATCATCCACTCTCTGCGGATGGTGGCTGAGCTCCGAGATTACATTCTTATCCGTATTATCGAGTCGCTTATTGAGGGCCTCCGGAACCGTTGGTGCCCTTCTTCCGGGTCAAGATGCCTTAACGATGGGGTCCCGGGAAAACATGAAAGCATACCGCGGGCTTCACGATTCTCGATATTCAATGGTGCATCCGAGGGCATGGAGTGTATGCGTCCATGCTTGCGCTCTGTTCTTCCACCAATGCTTTTCCGTACGAGACCCACACCATTGTGTTCGAGCAGTGAGATGAAATAAGAGTGCAATAAAATCTGTAGCGACCTGGAAGGCGCGATGCCCCCGAGTTCATAGGCGTCGGATATCCCTAGATTCGTCGAACTCACGGCAGTCCTCGTCCACACCCACACCAGTCAAAGAAGACCGAGTGCGGACGGAACAGATGTTTCAAAAATTATGGGCGCGACTCTCGGTGCTTCCGAAGTTTAGATGCATACGATGCATGCGCAAACCAAACTTCAGAGAATTAATTAGCGGGAGATTTCGTGCCGGCAGATGTCTTTGAAGATGTTTCTAATCCAAGTGTACGGAATCGCGCGGATCGCTCGAACGTCCCCGATCCGGGGCGGTCCGCGAAACTTGGGGATTTGGAGATATCTGAGTGAGTGATTTTTCAGGAATCCGAGCGGGATCGAACCTTCCTGGCGCTATCGCGGTCGGCCTCGTCGCTGTAAGAAATACTAGCAAGCTCCGGTGGGAATCAAATGAACGTAAAAGAGTCACTAGAGACGTCTCTCCGGGCAACAAGTTGAGAAAGCCACCGCCAGGATATAGGCGTATTGATGATGACTCAAAGAATTCCTAACAATAACAAACTCGCATCGCTCTCCTTAAGTGAACTTTTACGGCGGCGGTTGATCTTTGGAGCGCGCTCATCCAAGTTTAATGGACGAGTCCTCTTCGTCCCCTCCATGAAAACGGACTTGCTATGTTTATACGATTGTTGTCTAAGCGAGCGGTCGAGAGGGAAGAACAACATCCGAAAAAGAAACGTGTTTCTTTGTGTGTTTCATCGAGCAAGGCATACTCCGCGAACGTGACTATCGCAATTTATGTACACGAATAGCTCGTCCGCCATGCGCTCAGGGATGGTTAAGCGAAAACATCTTTGAGACCCTTGGAAGAGCTCGCTGTCAGCAATAGCCCAAGATCTCAATTATTGTAGATCATCCGCCAAGGAACGTACCCTGAGAATCTCCCGCTCCTGATTCTTGCTCTGTTCCGAACAATGCTCAAAGTAGACCAGAGGGAAGTCCGCCTGAGGAGAACTTCGAGAATGGAAACTCACTTGACACGGAGGCTGACATTTGTTGGTATTGTTGTTGCTGTCCCTTCCCGTGCCATCGGTGTGTTGCAGCTTCTTCAAGGCGCTTTGCACTTGCTGCCGCTGTATGATCAGGATGCACCGCTCACATTTGCAGTTCCTACGAAGCGACAATGCGGTCAAATCGACGCCTCCGAGAAGGGGATTCATACTTGCGAAAGCCCCGTGCCCGCTGACAAATGTTCTCGGTTCCGTAGCCGAAGGCACTTACTTATATCTACACTGTTCCTTGTGATCCTTGACAGGATTGCGCTCATTATGATTTCGGCATCGAGCGCAAAGCCTTATGCGATTCGACATCTGAGAAAAAAACTTCCATTCGTACACTTTCAGAGGAATTGAAACACTCGGAGCATACGCAGCTTGGCGAGACACCCTCACAATCGATTCCAACCGGTCTAGAACCGCGTTAGAGCTTTGTGATCGGCGTCCGTAGACAGGAGTTGCTCTGGGCAGGACACTCCTGCCGCGGACTCTTCTTGGGATGCTCATCTTTCTACAGCTTGATCGAGCGAGGAGTCCTAGCTCAAAAGAGGCGTCGCAGGTTAGCAGTTCGACGTCAAGTAATCGCCGAGGGTACTAAGGTTCCGGAAGCGGATGTCTACCTCAAGGATTCGAAGGGCCGACATCCTGGGAGAACTCAATGATAATTTAGTTGATCTATCTCGATGACAGAATATATTATAGAGATTCATGTGTTGTGTATCGCATGGAGATGGAGGAGCCGTCCAGGGTCCGTGTGTCCTCCTTCCGAGCTCCATCGGATGTGATAATCAATTGTGCGATTCGGATACTTGACGCTGGCGTCGTTCGTAAGCTTGTCAGGAAACACAACGGCATCGCTCCCTATGTCGGGAGATAGGTCAATGAAGTTCCGCGAGAAGGAGCTCATCGGGAAATATTCACGATACCCCCGATCGACATTCTGTTCAATATCGAATCGAACGTTGAGTTTTCGGGATTCGTATAAGCCATAAGATCTTATAATCATTGATGAGAGCCCTCCGGACGCTATGCTTCAGGGCATGGTCCTCTGAGAATCTGAGTGCTATCAGGGGAAAGGAGTGATCTTCCGGAAAGTCCCTCAAGGAGGACGAGTTGAAATTCATATAATCCGGTAGCCTCTTGCTCGTCATGGACGAACCATCAAGAGAAGCAGCTAAGTTCCATCGAGAAATAACCGGGGTATTCATTATGAATGTCAGACCTCGACGAGCGTGATCGGAACCTCACCCCTCTCGTACGACAATTCATGATCGACCCGAACGTCGCTTAAACGCGGCTTCCACTGCGCTACGATGAAAATGACGAATCGTAACCGACGTAAGCGAGCGGCCAGAGATCTGCATTAGTTGCAGCACTGGGGCGAGAGTTCCCACCTCGGAGGCTCTAGGTCCAGGACTCACCTCAGCCAGACTCCGTTTTTTCAGCAACAAAAAAGGTGACACAGAAGTTTCTGATGCACAATACGGACACTCCGCTGTTTCTACGTGACTACAAAGGGTTGGTCTATCTCAGTTGAACCGCGCAGGCTTTGGCCGAAAGACCCGCCCCTCCCCGACATCCTCTCCGCCTCTTCGAGAAAGAAAAACATTCTTCTGCGCCATATTCGACCCTAGACTACGGATGCGGGGCAAGTTCTTCATGGATGAGCATTCTGTTCATGTGAAGGAAGGAGAAAACGGATTTTCAAGCGGATTGCACATTGTTGGGTGCATTCGGGGGAATCGAGAGAAATTTCACGAGTCTCTGTAATTCGATCTGGGAAGGTGGCGCGAAGACTGTTGGCGCGGTGCTCTGGAAGGGTCCTGGAGTGATCGGTCTCAAATCTGAGTGATCGCTAAGAATTCTGGAGCGGTCCTGATTTTCATTGAAAAAACACCGTGACGGCAAAAAGTTTCTGTACATGTATGTCTTGTGTAACGCTGACCCAAACCACGATTCCGTAGCTCAGTCCAAGTTGCTCTCATTCTCCAGTCGAGTGAACATTGAACCTAAACAATTATGGAACCAAGTTCGGGATTGACCGAGAACAAGTCATGAGTGACTCGCTTTCATTAGATTCAATGCGCTTCCGCATGTTCAGAGGCCCTTTGACATTGAACTCAGTGGAAGCGAAGATGATGACATCGTCTTTCTATGTTCCGATTTGGTTTGAGACACCGAGGAGGATGAGGTCCGAAGTCGAGAGAAACGCTCCGCGTCTCTCTCAGAAATTGTCATGAGTCGTGATGTATGTATAATAGCTCTCACCGACACACGCCAGGGAGCTTTCAATATCGTTCAGATTTATCATTTTTCGGAATCTTGGATTTGCGGAGCTCCCGTTGAACGAGAGAGTGGTTCGACAACGCTCTGAGTAAACATTCAGACCACGGAAATTGGTATCATGTACCTATCGAAGAGAACTGAGCCTGCGGGAGCCAGAGGGCGAGCAAGGCGAGGGAGACCTTCAGAGATATTCAAAGATCCGAGAACGATCGGGTGTTGGTTTTGAAGGACAGTATGACGCACCACACATGGATATCAGGCTACGGAATTCCGGGAGGATGTCTGGTCATGTAGTCCGCCGGCGTTGTGGGATTCGGGTCTGACTATCGTCCGCTGTGGGACCTCGCGGAATTCCGCGTCGGATTCCCGACCTCAAGCGGCCTGTGTCTGGAGGTTCTGAGCCAAGTTGAATACTCCGTAACCCTTGCGCCTAAATACACTGCATGCGTGCTTCGTTCTTGGAGTGCTCAGACCTAGAGTGCGAGGGCCAGCGGCCATAGGTGCAGATGGGAATTCCTGAGGCTCTGCTTACTGAATCGAGATGCAGTTGTTCATTCGGAACGAGCCGGAATTTCCATCGCGAAGAATGGCGGCAGCTGAGAATCTTTGGCTCGAGTAGGATGATGGATATAAGCCTTCCCTCCACTTTTCCCCGTAGAGATTCGCGTTCTATCATTTCTGAAAGGGGATTTTCTTGGACGCTCATGGAAGACTCATCCGGCCGTACGCGGGCGACAATTTGGAAACCACGAGACGGAGAAGCTGCGAGCCAACGCTACCCGGATAAGTATAGGACAGACTCCCCGAGTATTCGAAAGTATCCCATCACAATACGTCATATTCGACAGAATTCGAGGGGGTTAAGCTGGGTGGTCGAGCCCAGAGTGCAAATGTTTGAGGAGGAATCAATCAGAGCTTAGATGAGTAATCAGAGCGATCAGAGGTTAGATGAGTAGTCAGAGCAATCAGAGGTAAGATGCGTAATCAGAGCAATCGGAGGTTAGATGAGTAATCAGAGCAATCGGAGGTTAGATGAGTAATGATGCCCTCCTATTGGAGGGCATGCTCTGATTACCGAGCATGCTCTTTTTGACGGGCGTGGTTTGGGAGAGCTTATTCGGGCGGGCACTCTTCAAAATCCCTATTCAACAGGCACCACATGCGGAGGAGTCGGGCGTAGACGAGCTTGCAGATGTAGATGATGCGTAACTGAATGTGATATGGATTATCCATAGTACGGTTTCTTCATAGTATGAGAGGCAGACGAGCATTCGTTTGCGTGCAACCCCTTCACGGCGCCCGGGGCGGTCAACGGTTTGAAAATTCTGGGCGCGATCAACCGAAATGCTGCCCCCTGTCCGAATGTTTTTCGAGAGGAGTTACCAAAATATTCACAAATATAGCCATTTTTTGAATTTCGAAGCCGAAAATGCCGCCCCCTCGATAGTGCCGCCCGAGGCGAACCGCCCCCCGATTGCGAGTTCCCCTCGCGTCCCAATCGAGAGATCCTCGAATCCAAACGGGAATGCCCCATAAGGAGCAAAACCATTCGCTTGGCACCAATCTGGGGCCCTAAATAGTTACCGGGCATGCCCTCCGATAAGAAGAAATACGGTACCTTGCGGGGTCGCAAGCTTACATTCGTTGTGCACTCCAGTCATCCCCGGCTTGCTTTAGCTCCCGAAAAAATCGCAGGTGCATTTTCGGATATCAAGACCTTGAGCAGGAGGCTCATCAGGGCGGATAAGACCGAGGCGATCGTCAGATAAGAAGATCCTCGGGCTCGGAACCTCCATGGACATTCATGTCGCCATTTTCCTCCTTCAACATTTCTGGCTGGTAGTACAATACTGGGAGCTGGGCCTGAATCGCCCAAGAGGCACCTGAATCCAGTCAGGCCAAGCTTCCCGACTCGCCAGTCTCCGAATCTTATTCTCGGAGCTCGTGATTCGTTTTGGGCTCCGCGTTTTCGGCGAGAGCTGTCAGTCCAAGAAACCTGAATCAAGAATATGAACCCTCCCCTAGTCCAACTACTATTTATGCTGAAGCGGGCAAGGTATTACATAATCAGGGCCGTCATATAGGAACCTTCGGCGAAGAATTCGATGTCGACCCGGCTCGACAAACAACGTTCCTGCTTGACTTCTTGCAAGCAGTGTAACCCAGAATCCAGAAAGAAGAATTAGGCCCTTATCGCAGCGCTCGTCTCTTCTTTGAAGGTGAACCTGATTACACCACTCGGGGGCGTGCGTTTGGCGTTCAATGAAATTTTCTCGCTGGTCCGGAATAGGTGGAATTGCTTCGTTTATTCGGGATATCTTATCGGCATCCGAAGTCAACGCTCAGTCCACTGTGAAATCAGAAAACGGGATTCTCTGCATACCCTCGTCCATATTCGGCTTCCCGCATTGCGCAATATTGGGTGCTCTAATTCGATTAGGTGCTTCCGTTCTCGCTACGGAATTCATAATCGATGAATAGATGGGCGAATCGCGTCAAAAAAGATCCTCGTCGATGGAGATTAGATCTCCTCGAGAAAATATTTGGACTCTTCACTTGCATCATTCCAAAATGTCAAATAGCTTAATGAGTGCCTCTGCTGTCAGCCTTCAGAATAATCTGTCGGCTGCCCGCTTTCATCGCTGACGCTGCGAGCGGTGCTGTGCGGAAGGCTGTGTGTTGTCCGCGCGGAATGTGATCAGCGCTAGAAGGCTCCTTTTCAGGGAGAGTCACGGCGTCGAACCCACTCCCCTGCGAAGGAACTTTGGTGAACACTTCCAGAGGGGCCACATGGGCTCCTACGGACTTGCATCTTCTGCGCCGACGAGGCAACAAGCCGTCCCTTCCCGGTTCTGGCTGTTTGTCTGCCCGCCTGGCCGCCACGGAACCGTAGCTGAGACCCGTGCCTTCTGAAGCCGCTGGAGAACCAAGCGCTACGAGTCGGAAACAGCGCTGCTGAGGTTAGTGCGGTGGAAATATTCCGAATAGAGAGTATCCGAAGTCAGGATGAATTCCTCAAGTTCGACTCTGGGAATTCCATCTTCCATTGAGTTGGAAGTCTCCCCAGCGCATCGGTTTTCTTGATTCACCCAGTTTGGTTGAGACCTATGACCGAACCGACATTCAGAAATGGCGTATTCACCGCCAAATATTCCGAGCGGACGTTTGAGTCGTACATGGATACGTATAGCGACCCGTACGCGAGCCTTCGGTGCCATGCAGCTGCTTTACGGTCCACGTTGCTGGGGTTGAGACACCAGAATTTTTCTGCGGGGCCCTTCTTCGGCGCACGGTGAGGGGAGGTCATTCGATTGCGCAACCGAGCAATGACCTCCCGCGGACTTCGTTGTAGACAATGCTGCGATCCGATGCGAGCTTGCGAAGCAAGGACGAACGCGTCGGGGCCATCTGAAAACCACCTTTTCTAGTTCGCCGGTGAATGGAGTTCAGCAACGAAGCTGAGCCGAAGTTGCTGCAGGGCCATTATGGGGAACTTCATATCGGTCGCCTTCGTGGAGCCGTTTGAGCAAATGATCGCCACGACATCATTCAGCGTTTCCTAAATGGGCTTGCAATAAGATTATCTGATGGGACAGGTGAAACTTTCGACACTGAGGGCTCGTCCGCCTGAAGGCTTGTAACCGCGATCGGCTTAATCGAAATCTTTCTATTCCGGCTCCGTAACTAGTACTCGATTGTATATGAGCGAAAATCTCACATCCGTCGTATCGAATTCGCGAGCCGGCTCGAATGCGTTTCCGCCAAGTAATTCTCTGGGCGAATTCGGAGTTGCACTCTAGTTTCTCAGTCAGAGCATCGCGGAGCCCGTTCCCACACCTCAATGCCTGGGACCCATGATCGAGGGGGAATTCCGCGTTTGAGACTCGGCAATTAGTTTCTGCATTCGAAGGAGATCGATCGAGATCCCCAGGAGGATCATCGAGACCTTAGAGGAGCTCAATCAGACTGCCAACTCTGGAAGAGATCACCCAATATTAGCAGATTATCTTTTGCATCGATTCTAGAATTCAGATCGCTCTTACAGATGAAAAGTTGGTCCGAAATAGCCGCGGAGGAACTGGGGGAAACGCCGGAAATCAGGGAGAGCTCCCTCCGAGATTTGAGGGCTCTCATCCGGACTCAGGGTCGTCCATCGGTTAACTATGAGGACGATGATGAATTTCTCATCAGATTCCTGCGGACGTGTAAATTCAATGTCGACCGTTCCTTCCGGATGGTCAACAACTATTATCTCAATCGAGCATCGCACAGCAACAAGATAATGCCAAAAGGGAAGGGTCCCCGTGACACAGAGTTCTACGCGAAACTTCAGACCTTGACAGTTCTCAAGAAGAAAAACCACGACGGTTCAACAGTTGTCAGTAAGTCATTACATCATCTCTGTGCGCTCTTTCATCGATATACCTCCATCATGAATGCCCCGCGTTCTCTCTTGTGATACTTCCCTTCTGCCGCGGTCCTGACGAGAAGGATCGAGCGTAGCGGCGATATCGTGTACACGAGGATCACGTCATTCTCTGCTCTCTCATTTCCAGTTTTCCGTAAAGGGGGTTGGGAGCCGTCTGACGGTACTGCTGTGCATGCTGACATGCTATTCCTAGGTTTGTATCTCCTGGAATGGCTTACAAGAGATCCCGAGGTACAAGTGACTGGGATCAGCTTCGTTTATGACTGCGATGGTTTCGGCATAAGACACCTGCCTTATGTTGACCTGGCAGTCTTTCAGGTTAGTGCTTTGGAGAGAAAATGAACATCCTCGGTGATCATTCTCTTCTTTTACTGAAGCGTTTCTCGTATTTAACGCAGGCACGCTTTTTTCGGTGCGAATCTGAGAATTCCTTTTCTAGTTCTTGACGAGCTGTATCAACAACAGCTATCCCATGCGGGTGAGAGCTATTCACGTGATGAACGTGCCCATGCCGTTCCGATTCGTCCTTAATCTCGTGACTCGATTGCTGTCTCAAAAGGTGAAAATCCTGTCGACCTCTGAAATCCTCGCTGAAAGATCATATCAGTCGTTCTGACGCCTTCCTGAAGCGAAACTCAAAACGAATTTCTTCCTGTTTGAAGGTTCGGGAACGTTTCCATGTGCACACGGATAGAGAAGCTCTGTTGGGTCACATCGATCCGAAAATACTTCCCCTCGAATACTCGAAGAAGTCGCAATGCGGGACGTTCGACAATCGATGGATGTTCGAGAAGCTGTGCGAGCGGCACAATTGGTTCGTGGAAAGAAGTTTCTACGGACTCCAAAAATCTGCCTGTGATAAAGAGCTCGACGTCGACGTCGGCAAGAATGCCTGGTTTCCCTGAAGCTGGCAGCCCGAGTCTTGGCTCCCGCAGAGTCAAAGGGAAGGGTATAGCGCACTGTCCGAACCTCTCGGATAGATTCAGGACCTTACACGATTGTTTAGCCTCTCTCTCCACTCTTTCTGGATCAGGATGCGCTTCTCCGGCCCAGCATCCGAAAGATCCACGAGGAATGGGTGAAGGCAGCTTTTTCTTCCAAGCGGAGTGCAGATCCTGCATTCATGATCCATTGCACGAGGGAACCGCGATACTCGTTGAGAATGCGCTGCGGAGGGGCAGGTGTGATATAGGAAGCTAGAAGGGATTAGGTACCTACGTCAAAATCGGGAAATAAGGATATCCATGACATCGTCGTGGAGGAAACACAGGCTCAATAATTCAGCCGGATTCTGAGAAATGAAAGATATGGAGTTCAATTTTGGATTGCTTGCGCGATGTAGACAACTAGCTTGTCTGATGAGTAAGTCGACTTAGGACACGCCTCCGTGGAGAATATGTTATTTCTCAGAACATTTTCACTAGTGCACAAAATAATTTGAAGACCCCCAGTCATGATAGATAAGAGCCTTTAATCGCCTTCGATAGACTTTCCCTGACAAGGAACTTCCGTGGACGGGGAGCGTAGTTTCTCACAAGAGTGGGCCTAAAGTCATTGAGAGACACCGTCAAAGTCTGATATGACAGGCGACGGTATCGCTCACTTGATGGGGTGGCGTTCGGACACCTAATCTTCCTTTGAACATCGGTATCTGAGGCTCAGTGTGATCTCTCGAACTCACTCAGTAGTGTCCGAAAATGTATGATATATAAGGTAACTACTTATCACGAATGGAGGGAAGTTCGAGGGCCCTCGATTGGCAATTGATCGTCGATGACAAAATCGGCAGGGTCTCGGAGGGGGCGAGCTCATAGGCTTTCGGAACTGATGTTTTTCCTTCATCATCATGGAGGAATGTGGATGGAAATCCCCGATACACACCTTGTGAAGAGTTCAAAGAGATCCGAGGTCGCGAAGAGAGAGACCCTGCGGTCGTCATTGAACTATCTTACCGGACAGAGGTTTCCTTCAGGGAAACGTAAAGGGGAAAAGCAAGAGATATAGAGGAATCCACCCTGCAGCCACGTGAGGGCGGACCTGCGGCCTAGAAAAAAAACTTTCTGTCAAATATTCTGTTCTCGATGAAATCACGACTTTATTAAATTCTTCGATTTTTCCCGCTGTGTCTTGGAACTTCGTTGCCCGAACAGTATGGGCAGCTCTCTCGCATCGCCGTATCCATGGGCCTTATCTGAAGAGAACTATGCGGAAATGGTAAAACCGCTCGAGAAAGCGAAATATCATGGCCTGGGTTTGCACGAGTCAGTCGGAGACGCTACGTGGGTCGAGCTCAACAATCTATAGTGGAAGCTCCCGCTTGCAAACCTATTGAACTAATGACTAATGACGGATTCTGAGTCGACTAGCCAGTCGATGGATTAAGAGCGAGAAAATATAGCACCGATGTCGCAGGGCAAGGGAGACAAGTTGCGAGGGAGTGGATTTTTCTGTCAGCGCAACCGGGAAAATTCGGGAATTCAAGGCAAATTCCTACAGATTGACCCATCCCTTTACGGACGGAGTCGTGCAAAGCCTCACAGAGAAATTCCGTGTGGTTTCGGTTTGGGATGGTGAACCCAAGATGTCACCTACTGCCGGCTCGCAGAAGGTCCGACGGGGGTCGTATCGATAGTGGGATATCTCCTCTCGGAAACCGAGAAAGCTCTGAGGCAGAACCACTCGGTGACAGATGAGTTTCCTAGGAATGGAAGCCGCTACGGACGCGGGTTCCCAACTGAGCTTCTGTCAGAGAGACTTACAATCGCTCTCGGGCCGTTGGCAAACCGAGCTTGAGGAAACTTCCGAGTGTAGACACTGGCATCTGTGTTCACGGTTACAACGACGGCAAACGATGACGACAACAGACGTCTGCAGCTTTGCAGGATGACTCATATGCTCCGAGTGTTTCGGAGATCTCTATCATCATAGGCCGTCCCGGTGTTGAACGAGTCCTTCAAATCGATCTCTACCGCTCTGGATGATCTTCCCCCGAGCCGCGGAACGTTCTAGCCGAGCGGGAAGGTGGTAGGTGCCAAGCGAAAGGTGTGATTCGATTTCCCTTAGAGGAGTTCGTCTGAGAACCGGGGGCTAAATGCTCCGAGACTCATGGCGTCGAGCGATAATCGGAGTACGCGTCAAACTCGGAAAAACATCGAACAATCGAGGCTCAGATAATAACGAAGCTTTTCGGGTGATGCTGACCGAGAAGAAATCTCCGTGGCCGAGCGCTCGTAATATGAGTGATGCCCATCATCTCGCCGATGACGATAGGATATCGCTCCTGACCTCGAGGAGTCTCCGTGATCATGAGCCCGCTCCCGTGGAATACTGCCATTTGACCCACAGTTTGCGCCAGGTTCGTTTCATTCCGCGCTGTTTCCGAAACGGACTCCGTGTTTGGATCTGGGAGACCCCCTCTGGCGTTTACGATCTAGGGTGCGAGGGACTTTCCGTCTGGCCTCTCTTGATTCATCCTCTTTTCCCTCCGGGGCTCCCGACCCACTCGGTGTCTCTGTTCTCAAAGCTTCGGAGCGTTGAAGCTCCTCAGAAGATGGAAACGCTATCCGCACGACCCGCGCAAACGCTCGTGCGGGAGCTCGACGGCACCGATCGAAGGGCGGGTATTGTGCTCTTCCTACGTCTGCGATTTCTGCGAAAGAACGTTTCGGTTTTTTTCAGCTCCTATACCAACAAAAACAGTACGAGTGCGAACGCCGCGTGAGTGAACGCCACGAGGTCATCAACAGAATGCTGAGTTTCCTCCGAGCTTGGCTCTTCAGCATGATGGAGTCCAAGGGGCTTCGCGAAGCCCTCAACTCTATGCCGACATTCCGGTTGCGACAATTTGGCTCGTTGCGGCTCGGTGTACAGGATTTTTATTCCGATATCGATCTTTGCTTTGTTGCTCCTCGGTGGGTAACAAGAGAGGAGTTTTTCACCGGTTTCCCGCGGATGGTGAGTACCTGCTTGTGACAAACGAAGGTTATCGCCAGTATTGTGGCCACGATTGATGAGACAAGAGTGGGTCGGAAGTCGCGCAAAATTCGAGGTTCCTGACCTCCGTGTTGACTGCAGCGCTCCTCGACTTTTTCAAGCTGCGTTCTGTTTTCGACAGCTCGAGCAGTACTCTCACGAGATCACGAAACTGAGTGTTTTGCCGTCCGCCTACGTACCTGTGATCCGAGCGACCTGCCATGACATCCAGGTCGACATAGTGTTTGCCCGAACCGAAGTCGACGAAATCTCGAGAGAGCTCGATCTCCTGGCGGGAGCCAACATTGAAAGGTTTCGTGGCCGAGCTTTGCGGAAAATCACAGCAGTTCGAGTTCGATAGCTCTGAGTATAAGTGCTGGTCTTCCGCTCGCGCCCTCGCGGAGACATCGTGGAAACTAAAGGCACTATATTTTAGTTTGATCTCAGATATCCGGTGCGTGCGATCTTTGAACGGGTATCGCGTTACAGAAATGGTGCTCCGGTTCGTGCCTCGATACCGGGTTTTCCAATTGGCTCTGAAGGCGATACGCTACTGGGCTAAATGTCAGAAGATTTATTCGCACACCTTAGGTGAATCCGCAGCGCTCATTTTCTTCTATTCTGAAACGAGACATGATTAGATTTGCTCCGACGTGCTTCTAACATTCTCCGAAGCGTCGCAGGTTATTTAGGAGGCGTATCATGGGCTATACTCGTCGCAAAAGTCTGTACCATGTTCCCGAAAGCTGGCGCTGCCCGGATCCTGAATAAATTCTTTCTGGTCATGAGCCAATGGAGATGGCCGGAGCCAGTGATGCTTTTGCCGGAGGGATACGGCGTCAGCTCCCAGCTGTGGTCGATCACGCAGATGCCGTGGGATATCATGCCCATAATTACACCTGTTTATCCGCAGCAGAATTCAAGGTATTCCCACACAGGAGTCGGAGTAGGAATCTACTGGAGTCTCCCTCGATGAATCACTCTGCGAACGAATTCCATCTCTGGTGGCTCCAATCAATCTTCCCACGTTCTTCCAGTTTCAATGTTTCAAAGAGTACCTTGCTCGTGATGAAAAATGCGCTCACAGAAGGAGTCCGCATCACAGATGACATACTCATGGAGAGGTGCGACTGGAAGTCGTTTTTCCATCCAGTTCACATAGCCGATATGTATGAACATTACGTTGTACTACAGACATTCCGTTACACTACCGACCCTCACGAGAAAGAACTATGGGTATGCTCGATTGTCATCTTCCTGCATAGATGATCATCTCTGATCGTAGTATAATTGCCGCCCGAATTATTCCGGTGGGATATTCCTCAGATAATGTCAGTGGAGCGGAGTATGAAAAAATTTCTGAACGGAATCGATGCTTGTGCGCGTTGCGCTATCAAGTATCTGCACGTGAGCCCCGATTACTCAGTCCTCACCCGGCAAGACCATATCCAGGTCTCTTGGCTGTTCGGAGTCCAATTCCTCCCTGAAGCTAAACAGGTCAGGCAAGAGTTCCGATTCATAACTCAGGCAAATCCTGACGCGACGCTGATCTGGCAGGTCGAATAACTCCTTCTCGCATCGTGCAGTACCTCGGCGATCTGAGCACACATACCGACGGTTTATTCACGGCGGTCGATAGCTCACTGCCGCCAAAAACCCTCTCGCAAGATAAAGATTTCATAAGGAGTCTTTTTGTGGATCGACGTCACGCTTTGGAACTCATGGAAATAAAGTGATCGGTAAATGATGGTCTCTCAATCGGTTTCGACTCGCCGGTCGATCGACTTTCAGCTTGAAACCGCGGAGCAGCCTCGACTGGCTCTATGCATCTTTGCCCTCCGGGTGTTAGCTATGCGAATCGAGCCAGTGAACAAGTACCCAAGGTGCGGTACGAGGCCACCACGGAAGACCTCCGGGACAAAACTCGAGTATCGGGTCTTATATGGAGGTATTCCCGTACCAGTGGTCGCTGAGCGAAGGGCTCCATTGATTGGTACCAGCCGCGATAGCGATTGCAGGCTGTCGAGAGCTTCGACTCCGCGCGGATCGGCTGTCTTACGAGAGGGAGAGAGCACATCATTGTCCTGCCGGAGGGTACTTGCAGTGGTTGGTTCACCACTTCTCGAGCGCCGAAGCCACGGGAGACTCTCCTTTCCCCTAGGCGGGAAGTCATAGCTCAAAATGGGAGTCAATTGGCCCTCAACTGCTGATATCTCCGATAAGCAGTTTCGGCTTGTTGAGGCCCTTGGCGAAGTCAATCGTTTGTATGAAGTCATCCAGCTGGATTTGCTGAATGCAAAATGAACGGATATACCTGCATGAAGTTTTCTGACAGGAGAACGAGGACCCCGGAAGGACCGTCCAATGTCATTGAGGGCGAGACCTGCAGGCAACTCCAAACCAATCGCACAGTTCATTGAGAAACTTTCGGATGTTGATTACTGGCACTGGCCGATGTAGGGAAGTCTGAAAGAATCAAGAAGTACAAGAGACTAGACTAAACCTATCATAAGTCGATTTGAAAGTTCTAAGCTTGGAATTGATACGACAGCGCTGGAGTCCTCAAGGCTTCAAGCGCCCCGGAGAGCTCGTCGCTCTCGAGAGCGTCTGATTGGAAGCCCAAGGAAGCCGTATAGATCAGGATCTTATTCGGCCCGTAATCTTATCGAGGGCGAGCATTCCCTCTCACATCGCCAACGGTTTTTGCTCATCCGGAGCAAACCCTCGCTCTAGCTTCCTCTCTGTCCGACGAAGCTGTTGGACAAGTCCTCTACATGTGCATTCTCGAGGATCCTGTTCAAGAAGGAACGTCGCGCTCACCGAGGTTATCGGATGTGAGCAGCTAGTCGTAGGAGCTGTCTGTGCATATACCTTCTCTATCGAAGCGATTCCGGCGGAGGATCCGTGAGCCGAGTCTCGGAAAAGAATTATCCTGAGAAGTAGGCACCGTCGTAGAGCGGCTACCTCTCTTCCAGCACTTGGAGAACATTCGAGCGAATGCCGGTCCTCCGAACTGACTAGAGTGCCCGCGAAGTGCGAAGAGAATCCCACATAGGGAACAAAAGCGAATCGTTCCTTCACCCGAGCCGTGTGAATCCCTCTCGATACGCTGCTTCATCAGGAGCATTTCTCGCGCGTGTGATTAGGGAGGTATTCGAGGCAGCCCCGCCGACCAAGAAGCGTACTTATATGCATTTCAGGCGAAAAATTCACGAAGCATTCAGGGATGGATTTGCGCGTGGCACTGACTCGATCTTTGCGTCTCAACCGATTTCCCCGGAAAGCGACGCAAGGATAGCCGAGGAGTGGGTGGGAGATCTCTCGCGAACCAAGGCTCTCAAGGATGCCCTCAATCAGTATTTAACGATCGATCTCTCCAGGGCTCGATGGCCTTGATGCTTGTTCCGTCTAGGAAGGCCTGCTGAGGGCCTGTACGAGAAGCCTCATTTGGATCGCTTGGGAGTACCTTCCACACGATGTGGTTGGAGGTTTCTTGGGACTTGACCTATAGCGAATCGTATAGATCGCATGACATGCATTTTTTCTTTCTCTCCAAGGCGTTCCTGTTCCTCCTTCGTCGGGGAGCGATATCATTTGCGATAGCCTCGAACTCCCAAGGAATGGATGTGTCGGGTGGGGAATGGGCTCACATTGATCGGCCATTCTTTCTGCGAGTTCCCCCCTTCTCGATATCGAGTCGGCATGTCTACTCCTTTTCCGGATGGCCATACCCTTCCCCCTTCGAGCCCGATCGACGGCGAGCGTCTCATCGGGTCCCGGAGACTCACATTGAAGCCTCGGCAAAGGGCGGAAGTGGGTCGTTCGTACGTTAGGATCCCCCTCCGTCGGTATGGAGCATCATCCATAAAATGATAGGCCCCGACGGGATTTGAACCCGTGATCTTCGGTTTACAAGACCGACGCCTTAACCACTAGGCCACGGCGCCATCGTAATTTATTAAAACTCGCAGAACTCAAGAGTCACGAGGACTGTAATGAAAAGAGCAGTTCAGAAATCTCCAGCGACGACGCCAAGCAAGTCGATCTCCCTTCGAAAGAAAACGCTCCTGGAATAAAGCTCCGCTTCTATGCTAGAATCGCCTCCTACTTACATCTCTCTGCTGCTCCCCGAATCCTTATGGATGACGATATTTGGTCTCGACATAATCCGTTGAAGACCATCGGGAGGAAGAGGAATTCATCGCGAGAGAATGACCTTCCTGAGAGAAGTTGTCTCGGGCGATGATGAGCATTCTCCATCAATCTGGTGCGCGGAAAAGAGCCAGAGAAGGAGGACTCCGAGTTTCATGATAGAGTATCATCGAAAATGATCAACACAGTTTTTTCCCTGTGGGCATGACACAATAGAGACTCACATCCTGATCTCTTGAACCTGATTATATCCATCACCGAAATGTTCGTGAATGTCAATTACCGCCGCGATAGCGCTAGAGGGCCCAAGACCTAAGCGGCCGTCGCGGCGATCTGTTCAAAGAATATATCTTTCGCGTGTGTGTTCCCCTCAAGGTGAAATGTATCCTGCATGAGCGCTCTCTTGGAGTGATAAAGGAACGGAGGAACATCATTGATTATGGAAAAGGATAATATCATAGAAGAGCGGAGGGTTCCCTTCCAGCGATCGCCATCCGGCAGCGTTCTCCGTTCAGTCAATGAAGACGACGATCTTTTTCCAGAGCCGTAGGGATCCCTATTGTCGATGCGTGTCGAGAGGAAGGCGACCGCGGAGTACGCATCAGGCGTCACGTCTTTGTCTTGCTGCCTTCGTAAGCGCAGATTCACCTCGTAGCGAACCTGCAATCTTGGAAGACGAGTCCAGGCTTCTTCGTGGAAAGCTTTGGAGAGCTTCTCTTTGAACCTCTCGCTTCCTTAGATGAGATTCGGTGGAGCCTACAGCAGCGCAAGCTCGAGACTCACATCGGATGACTAGACGATGTCTGGGTACACGCTGATCGTCCTCGATTCCGACTCACCAAAGAGAAACGGAGATCTCCCCGGTGCATTCCGGCCATCCGCTGACTTCTCATAGGGAGCGCTCTTCGCTCTCATTCCGGCGGAGGGAGCGCTGCCGATAAGTTTGGTCATACGGCTATACAGAGGAAATTCCTCCGGCGAGCCCAATGCATGCTTTCCCCACGAGGACCCTCGGTTCTAGATAAAGTCGAGAAGTTGTGCAAATACGGCGACGTAGAACTCGAGATATCCCGAATTCCTTATGATGTGAGGATCAATACTTGCTGTATTTCACCGGTGCCCGAATAAAGAAATCACGGAACTCAGAATCCGTAACAGTTGTATTGTACGCGGAGTTTGCTGTGAGGTGGAACTTTTCGTTTGGTGCCAAGGGTAGGAAGCGTCTCCGTCCGGGCTTCGACTATCTCAGCGGTATGTTCGGAGCAATCGTGATGAGCTGCTCTGTCCTCCAATGGCAGGCATCCCTCTATTTCCGACCTTGATTGGCCCTGTCCCGACTCATGTCTACCAACCATCTCGTCCGGTCTAAATCAATCCCGGCGGTTCCGGTCGCGTCTGCTCATGGACGCGATTTTCTCCTTTCGGTCTCGGCCCTGCCAGCTGTCGGACTGTCCCCGGCGTCAGACCCTGATCCTCAGTGAATCGCAAAGGGCAGTCCGGAATAGGCTTCCTTGCGGCCTGTCAAAGAAAGTTGCGATGGAGTTCGCGGAAATCGCGGAGATGCTGATGATTCACTCCGGGATCTTGAATTTCGTAGTGTCAATGAAACGCGAGGCTGAACAGGCTATCGATACGTCTCCGTGCACCTCTAATCTTTCGATGGTCTCAACATTCATTTTCGCACAGGATATGCAATAATTCCCACCGGGTACCGGCGATTTCCTCGCTCTCCTCGATTGAAAAGTCTCCTGAGATGGGGATAAGAGGAGGGTCCTAATCGACCGCGTTTGACTCACCGTGGGGGTTGAAGGAAACTCTCTGGGGGGGTGCGGGAGGGGTGGGCGCCCCGATTGCTGAATGCATCCTTATCGCGGTCGCATAGATCAGTCGAAT